CAACCACAACCACAACCACAACCACAACCACAACCACAACCACAACCACAACCACAACCACAACCACAACCACAACCACAACCACAACCACAACCGCAACCACAACCACAGCCACAACCGCAACCGCAACCACCACATACCACATACCACATACCACATAACATAGAAGGACGCTCTTCAACTTCTCCCAGGAGAGCTCGGATCGCCCGGCTCGTCCTACGTCACCTCGCCATCTCTCCCTCATACAACGACGAGTTCGCACCCAACATGTGCACTAGTGTGTTCTGGAAATATTCGTGCGGTCACCTTTTCGAACGCGTATTGTCAAGACAACCCTGCAGGAAAGGAAGAAATTGCACAGACGTCCAGGCGAGAAGCACGCTCGACGTCAACATGATCTGTCCTCGATGTAACGGCGAAACTCCGATGAACCGCAAAAAGTCTTAGATCACGGGGATCTGAGTGACCGAGCTTGGTCTTCATCTAGAGGGCAGTGACCCCGGGTCCTTTTGATAGAATCTCTTGAACTGAACGTCTCCTGCCAAAGGCCAGCCTAGGATTCATGAGGACCCGATCGGCTCCCAGCATCTCACCTTCAACCACATCAATGGCTGGAGCATTCTTGTCAGGGTCAAAGCGAGCGAATCTCATAGCGCCTATTTATCTGCAGTATCAATCATCCCTCACTGCTGACATAGCTGCTAGTTGAGATGTGAATTGCTGAAGCCTTTGTACCGTGTAGCACGCATGAAGATAGCGGGCGGTTGACAGCATTGAGGTCATGGGGGTTTGACCTTACTAGGTAGTCAATCGAGTCAATCAGCCTCAACCTCCCGTACATCATGATCATAGCACAATTTCGATTTCATAGGTAAATTGCTGACCAAGACTGTCTTACGTGGAAGTGAGTTGTGCCTAGGTAGTAAGCTCAGAGGTGTGAGAGCACAGAGTACGGAGTAGTGGTGGTGGTTATATGTATCCGTACCTGCGCCGTACTAAGACGGCATTGTGGCGCCGCCGCCTCAACCATATCTTGGCACTGGCTGTGGCTGTGGCTGTGGCTGTGGCTGCGCTCAGCTCGCAACCCCCAAAATTCAACGGACAGTGATCGATCATGTATCTGTGGTATTCGTATTCAGCTGCCACCTTCATCGGCACCGCAATGATTTTAAGCGTGGTCATCCTGTGTCGTGGGGAGAACAGCCTGGCTGAGCTGACTTCAGAACCCTCACAATGAGTCAGTTGCGCCAACACGCGTTCCAACGGGTATGGTTCTCCGCCGTCTGTTCAGTCCAGTCCACACACCCAGCTAACACATGTCTACTAGTTGCGTCCCCCATGTGTCGAGCTCAGCTCTACTGCACTCCGGTTCAAAGCCAACCAAGCCTCTACAAAGGCCGTGCTGCTTGACTTGGAACCCGTACATGATGTCCTGCGGTCACTGGGCGGTGAGAACCTGCTTGACGAGAAGCTGGCCGAGTATGCCTTCTTTCCACTCACGCATATTTTCAATCAATCCCGGCGGTTGCCTTCTCATGTCCTAGAAGTGGCTGTCAGGTGCGTGGAGATCCTAGTCTCACAAGGATGGAGAGACAGAGTTCTGCCGGAGATGGCGAGGCAGCTCCTAATTCTCATGGGACTATTGGTCTCTCCAACCCCCAATCAGCAGAGTGAGCCTGCCACGGAAGAGCTGAAGTGTGCCTCCTATGACTGCATCCACGCCGTGATAGCCCAGATTGCACGTGGCGAGAAGAAGGTCCTTGACGAGGTCGGTGACAAGAATATTGTCGACCAACTCGTGTATCAGCTGCTTCAAGCGATCGCAGAGTCCAGCTCGGAGATGGTTCAAATCAGTGCAGCTCACGCCCTCCTAGCGGTGGACTCTGCCATCGCAGACTGGACGCTTCTCGCGAGCTTGTTACCTCGTACTGTTTCAACCTTGGTGAAAGTGCTGCGCCCAAGCACTCAAGCCCGGCGTACGCGGAAAGTCCTCGTGGCTTACCTAGAACTCCTGGCATTGGTTCTCAAGAGGACCCTGTCTGACGAAGTTGTCAAGGAACACGTCGGTGAGGGCGGTGGGGAAATGGCAAAAGCAGAAAAGTCACAAGGGTCCCCTATCCTAGAGAAGTCGTGGCTCGATGCTACAACGCCGCAAGTCGATCTAGCCTTGGTCCAAGTGGTCAAGCTTAGAACACATGATGGGTCAGACGTTGCTCGGGCACTTCTCGATCTTTGCCTCCTGGTTCTCGAGGATTGTTCACGAACCCTGGCGGTTTCTGCACCCCTGATGGTGGAAACCCTGGTTGTTCTTTGTCGGTCCTCGGATTCCTCCCGGGCTGAGGCCAACCTTAGGCATCTTGTCACATCGCGACCCGAGATAGCGGACATGCTGAGCGGTAAATTCTATGATTGGGCTCAAGCACTCCCACGGGTAATGCAAGGCCATGATGACAGACCAAAGCAGCAGATGCTCGGTCAAGTTGCGACATCATTCGTGGCCTTGACAGAGTCTTGGAATGCTACTGATGAGTTGGGCTCTAGAATAGCAGCTATCCTTGTTGATAGTGTCGCAGCGGCTATCGAATCCAGTTCGAAGAAAACAAAACTGATCGACGAGACAGCTCCAACACGTCTAATTGATCTCGCCGATCGAACCATGCAGATAGATCAAGACTTCCAGCCTATACTCCTGAGCCACCAGAGTCAGCAGTCTTCCACAAAAGAGATACTGGACTTTGTGGGCTATCTCAAGCCCCAGTCATCTAGCCGAAGCATAACACGCAGCATCATCAATCAGACTCTGGATCCTGACAACAACAGGAGGCTCGCTGCTACGTGGCTGGGGCTGGCTTTTCTGCGATCTTCCGGACATGATATCGCCGATCTCGAGGACTTTGTGGAAGACCATTCCTCGGAGACGAATTTGCAACTTTCCCGGCCCTTCCTTATCTCGGATTTGTATGCCATGACATTGCCAAGTCTACTGCAGTATCCCGACTCCAAAGCTGAAGGGGTTGCAGATTGGAGACTCGTGGCGACAGCTTTGGAGTCCCTAACGCTGCAAGCATCGCAACTCGGCCGATCCTACCGGGTCGAGTTGATGGAAACACTCTTTCCGTTATTGAGTCTATTCAGAGATGACAACGTTATACTTCAACGCCACACGGTCACCGCGTTGAACCTGCTGGCAACTGCGTGTGAGTACGAGTCAGCAGCCCAGATGCTGGTCGACAATGTGGATTATCTAGTCAACGCTGTCGCCCTCCGCTTGAATGCTTTCGATGTGTCTCGTGACAGTTTGCAGGTTCTCGCCATGATGATCAAGCTGTGTGGTGCCAGGCTGTTACCACACCTTGATGATCTTATTGACAGCATGTTTGGAGCTCTCGACAACTTTCATGGCTATCCAAATCTTGTCGAGCATATATTTACCATTCTGAAGATGATGGTTGAGCAGAGTTCCAAAACGCCCGACATGCTTGCTATCGGACCCGATCGGAGACAGGAAGCATATCCAGCTGTAGTCATTCGCGTATCCAAGGTGGACGATATCTTGAACGACCTCAGAGCGCGCAAGGAGAGGAGGACGAAGTCACGTGAAGATCAGGAGGCGATCACCACAGCGCCCCATCGACCATGGTCGAGAGCTCTTGATGGACCACGTGATGGTGCGGAAGGCGAGTCTTCAGATGTCGAGAACAGTGAAGAGGAGGAGCAACCGCTGGCAGACAGAGGCAGCGACAAGGAGCCCGCATTATCTAAATCTCACCAGCTGCTTCTCAGTATTGCCCAGTCAGCAGTCCCTCATGTGTCATCCCCGTCTCCACAGGTACGGCTCACGTTGCTCCAGCTATTGGAAGAGGTATGTCCCTTGCTGGCGCGGCACGAGGATTCCTTCCTGCCTCTGGTGAATTCTGTGTGGCCTGCAATTGTCCCCCGGCTCCTGGGCAAAAATGAAGACACTTCACACGACATGCCTTACACTGTGCAAGCCGCGGCCGATACAATATCTGTCATGTGTCGGGCAGCAGGCAGCTTCATGTCCAGCCGCGTTGAAGACATATTTTCGGAGGTGGAAGCGCTCTTCAACAGAGTTTATTCGGCGGCTACATCGTCCAGAACGCCTCAACAAAGGCCTACGTCGGCAAAGCCAGGCGTGAAGGCAATGGATTTAGCTGGATCTTCTGATGGACCGAACATACAGCTCCAACGAGATCAAGAGCGAGACAGTCGCCTTGCTTTGAGCCATCACCGCAGCACCGTCATGACCTCGAATGGCCGGATCCTTGAATCTCTTGTGGCATTATTGACTTCTATCTTGCGACACGTTCGAACATCAGAAGACAACGTCGACAGAATCTTCGAAATGCTTGCCCCACTGATGCACATGCCCGGGAAGGAAGGGTTGCGGGAGGCTTTGAAAGATTACAACGAAGACGCTATCTGGCTGATTGAGCAGCGCGTGAACAACTGAGTTGACTGACGGGCCGGGCCTGGCCTGATGAATCCGTGAGCAACTTCAAGCAAGCGATGCGCACGGCCCTGATGTGATGCGAGTACCCAAACTGGTTCGCCGAGGTCAATTGGTCAAATTGACAAATGGTCAAAGAGGTTGAAAATCTCCGCGGTTATGGAAGGCTCTTCGCAAAGCACCCTACAAGCGCACTGTAAGCCCCGAGGCCTGAGCCCTGAGCCCTGAGCCCTGAGCCCCTGAGCCTTCGCGGTGCGCGAAAATAACGAATTTCCGAATCGGGACCTCTCCGAACTCCCGGCAATAGTGAACTTCCCTCCAGGACCAGGCTAGACCCAGAAAGGCGATCTACAACTCCGGCCACAGCCCTATGACAGTCTGATGACAATATGTAGTATCTGTCGTTATGGATTCCAGGCTGCAGCATTTCTCGGAGGCTGGTTGGAGATCAACGGCTGCGTCCTCCGTACAGAGTATCCCAGTACAATGTATATCATGTCGGGCCCCCTCGCACCCGGGCCCAAGTATGAATTGGGTCTCATTCCTGGGTTCCCGCAGGACTGTCATACGCGCAACTCTACCGAATCTTCTGCGGCTGACTGACTGTTTGCTCCAAGATGGGGGCTACGACACAATTTCTACTTGGTCAGTTGTCGACTCCGCCAGTTCCCAAAGTCGACTTAACCGGGCGCACCATCTTGATCACCGGAGCCAACTCGGGCCTGGGGCTTGATGCCGCCAAACTGCTGGTGCGACTCAACTGCAGCACGGTGGTGCTGGCGTGCCGGAACCTCGCGAAGGCAGAAAAGGCCAAACAAGCCGTACAAGCAATCCCCAGCGCAAATGGGCAGAAGCCGACCGTTCTTACCATGGAGGTGGACATGGCGTCCTTTGCCAGCATTGCCGCATTTGCAGAGCGGTGCAAAGGCCTGGGCCGACTCGACGGCGTGTTGCTCAATGCTGGGGTTGACCTCCGAGAGTTCTCGTTGTCTGAAGGATACGAGACCACCATCACAGTGAACGTCATTTCCACCTTTTTCCTAGCGACATTGTTAGTACCCATCCTGCGCAGGTCGGCGCAGGTCTACAACATCACCCCGAATCTCGCCATTACGGGGTCAGCCGTACATATCTGGGCGAATTCCAAGGACCTCACCAGCCCAGCAAACGGACAGATTTTGAAGACACTCTCTGATCCCAAAAAGACCGACATGAGCGCGCGCTATTTTCTCAGCAAACTACCCGTGATGCTTTTGGTAAAATACCTGGCAGCAGTGTTGACGAAATCCGCCCAGTCGGATCCCCAGGGCAAACCGTTGGTGGTAATTAACAATGTGGCTCCGGGATTGTGCCAGACCAACCTGTTCCAAAACTACACGGACACCACAACCAAAGTGGCGACCAGCGTGATGCTCAAAGTGATCGGGCGGCCGAGTGAGCACGGCGCCAGAACACTGGTGCATGCAGCTTCCGCCGGCAAGGAGACTCATGGGCAATATCTGAGCGAGTGCCGGGTCAAGCAGTACAGTGACTTTGTGAAAAGCGCGGAAGGGGACCGAACAGCCCGGCGACTCTGGGAAGAACTGAGTGCCATCTATGAAGGGGTGAAGCCAGGATGCACCCAGGAGCTTTAGGTGCCACGAGATCCCGGTTCAAATGGGGTGGATAGGAGGAGAGGAGAGGAGAGGAGAGATCCAAGTATTTAATAATCTATGCCCTTGCCCCTCGACCTGCTTTTAAAGTCAATGTCGTAGGAGTTAGGAGTGGTATTTTTCGTGATCGCAGCCTCGTGGCGCTCGTTTGAATGTGGATAATATAAAATATCGGATCCTTCCTGTGCAAATATTAATTTACACGGGGGGACGCCTAAGGCTCTGTTGGGTGCCTGTTGCACGTTTCCACCCAACGCCATCCATCCATCCATCCACCTCTCCCTCCCTCCCTGCATCCTGCCAGCCACCGATACCGCTCATTGCCAGCGTCTACTATCGCGTGTCGATGCTCTGTGGGCCGACATAGATCGTGGTCGACAGTTTCGGCAGGCTGCTGAGCTCGGCCCCCATCGCAATCGCAATCTGCGTGCCTCGTGCACTGGCTGCCTAACCTAGTCTGACTTGACTGCCTTGGATCTGACCTGGCCGACCTCACCATTTCGCCATCTCACTGTCTCCCCTGTCTCTCCCTAAGTTGGCCTCTCCACTACTCGGCAGCCTCTCACAAATGGCTGAATTCGCGTCACTGACCCATAAATTCCGGGCCAACATCTACAGCCTCCAGCCGCCCGGAGCGAGCAAGATCAGCAAACGCAACCGGCAGCCTCTCTCTTGTGGCCCGTGCCGACTCAAAAAGCTCAAATGCGACCGAGGCCACCCATGCGAGACATGTATCAAGAAGGGAGACCAGCGCAGTTGTACCTATGGCAAGGCTGCGCCCGCCGCTGCTACCGCCAGGCCTGAAGCCGGTAGCGCCAGTGTGAGCAGTCGTGGAAAGGCACAGGAGAGACTGCAGCATCTCGAGCAACTCGTGATGCGTATGGTAGACGGCAGTGCCAGTGCCAGTGCCAGTGCCTCGACTGGGTCATCCGCCACCTCGTCCAGCCAGGCCGACACTGCAGCCACCGATGCAGACCCCGGGAGTTCCAGCATGGCGAAGGAAGGCCATCTGCACGTCGGCCCGTCCGAGTCGCGTTATGTCGGCTCGACGCACTGGTCGGCCATCCTGGAGGACATCCAGGAGCTCAAGACGACGCTGGGCCCCGACCCTTCCTCCAGCACGGAGCTGGATGAGTCGGTGGACATGGAGCCCCCAGACTCCGAGGACTTGTTCGGCCCGCCAGGCAATCGGTCGCTCGCGCAGATTCTGGCCCAGGCTCTCCCTCCACGGCTGCAGGTCGACCGCCGGCTCTCGATGTACTTCAAAGCGCAATACCTGGTCATTCCTTTCATCCATTCGGCATCGTTCCAACGCCGCTACGAGCAGTTTTGGAATGCGCCGCTCGAAACGCCTCCGCTGTGGATATCGCTCCTCTTCTCCATCTGCAGCATGTCCGCCACGCTCAGCGAAGCCCTGGGCTCCGAACCCTCGACGCCCGAAGACCAACCCAGCCCGCGCGTGGCCTTCCTGGCCGCCGCCGGCCAATGCATCCAACTCGGCGGCTACGTGCGGCCCAAACGCTACGCCGTCGAAGCCCTGGCCCTCTACTCCCAGTGCAAGTATCTAGCCACGTTGGACCCGTCGCGCGAGGTCGGCATCATCTTCGCCATCGTAGTCCGCCTCGCATATCGCAGCGGCTACCACCGAGACCCCTCGCTTTTCGCCCACATCAGCGTGTTTGAAGGCGAGATGCGCCGGCGCACCTGGGCCATGTGTCGACAGTTCGACCTGATGGCCTCGTTCCAGCTGGGGCTGCCAAACCTGATCCCCCCCGACAGCTGGGATACGCAGCTACCGCGGAATCTGCTCGACGCTGACTTCGACGAGCACACTACGCTACTCCCGCCTTCCCGCCGGGAAGACGAGGCGACAAACATCCTTTATTTCATTGTGAAGTCGCGGCTCATGACCGCCTTTGGCAAGATGTGTAGCCATGCTCTCTCATTCCGCAAATGCAGCCAGACAGAGATCATGGCCCTGGACGCCGAGCTGCGGGCCGTGTACGCGACAGTGCCTGAGATTCTACGCATCAGACCGATGGCCCAGTCGTTCGCGGACCCGCCGTATTTGGTCATGGTGCGTTTGAATTGCGAGTTCCTGTACCAGAAGTCCATTTGTGTGCTGCACCGCAAGTACATGACACAGGGCGGCGACAACTCTCCGGCCAGCACCCAGGCATGCTTAGATGCAGCTGCCACAATTACCAAGCACATGCTCGATTTGCACAAGGAGCTGCAACCGGGTGGCCAGCTATACGCCGAGCGCTGGATGCTGAGCAGCTTTGTCATGAACGATTTCTACCTGGCCTGCATGGTCTTGTGTTTGGGCGTTTCACTATGGAAGAAGGCCAATCCGGGCAAGGATCTCAGCCAGGACGACAGAATGGACAGCCTGTTCAAGCTGCTTAAGGCCGCCTTTACCGTTTGCGAGGAACGCAAAGCCAGCAGCACCGAGGCGAGGCGTGTCGGCGATGTGCTGAGAGTGATGTTGGGCGAGACGGACTTGGGCTTGTCCTCGTCGGCGTCGACAACGACGATATCTCAGCTCCAAGAACAACCACGACAGCAGCTTTCTGATTCCACGGGGCATTTGACCCCCAACGCGCTCGCTTTCCATCCATCGCGGTTTGGCGGGTCCGCTTTTACCACGTCTCCATATGATTTCAACTTGGGCCCGTCAAGTCTGAATGAAGAGAACTTGTCGAGTAGCCACCAAAGCCGAACCCCAACCTGGACCCAGCCTGGTGCAAGTTCTGGTGTGGGCGACGGAGGCGGAACCGACTTCGTCAACTTCCAGCAGGTGAAGCCCAGGTCACCTTTCCGTCCGAATCCATTCAAGGTGTTCTTCGCGCCCTCGTCGCCCACTAGCTATCAGAACACAAGCGCAAACTCAGGCTTAGCCATGAACACCAAGTCGAATGGAGACCAACAACCATATTCAGACGCGAATGTCAACCGAACCCAAGATCCAATCTTGAATCTCAACACACCTCAGACAGCGACGGACTTTTCGTCGTCGAACCCAGCCATCATCGCCTCGGACCCTACTCGACAACCCGGTCCCGACAGAACTATCCGTACCGATACAGGTATGAACGCGCACACGGACATGACTGTCGACTCCGGGATCAACATGGACACGAATCCCAACCTGGCCGCAGACCCGCCCGTTGATATCGACTGGGCCTTTCTGGACCAGTGGATGGCCCTGCCTAACCCGGACTCGATCATGGCATCGGCCGACGGGCCTTTCGCGTTCGGTAGCCCGTCGATGCCATTTGGGCCCGGCACGCCAACTGAGTAATCTCGATCCTGCCAGCTGCCACTGGTGCCGCTGACTTGGAAAAATACGATACCCACCATCCCCCGCCGACCATACAGGCCTGAAGGGGGGTTCTGGCCAGCCACCGTCACCGTCACCGTCACAGACAGGACGCTGATACAGCCGGCTGGGAATCATACAGACACAGACACGGTAGATGGCGCAGAGCAGAGTGCGGCTGCGGACTTTGGCCTTAGTCCTTGCGCCCGGTCTCAGGGACCGTAGAGCATGGCCACCGGCAGGGACGACAGACAGATCGGATATCAAAAAGGCAGACCTATGTACCAGCTCCAGCTATCAGCTATCATTTACCAGCTACCAGCTACCAGGTCCTAGGTCCCAGCTACGAGCCAGCTTCTACAAGCACGCAGCGAATACATCGAATGCATCGACATACCTACCTACGTCTTCATGCATGATATCATTGTGGGTTTCGCGTGGTAGAGACGAAGAAAGATATCTACATATGTATATATTTATGTACGTGTGTATGTATGGATATATATACGTGTGTATGTATAGATATATGTACGTGTGTATGTATATATGTATGTATGCTGAGCGCGCAATATTACCTCTACCTCTGGGGAGAGCCCTAGTCTCCTAGTCGCTGAATCAATCTCTCTGCGCGCCTGAGCCCTAGCCTTACTATTAGCCCTCGAGACAGTCCGCCCTCTTCCCCTCCGGACCAGAGATGGCGAAACGCATCGTACAGTACTCACGTTCAGGGTTACGATTGCATGTCTAATTAAGGTAGGCATCGTAACGCGAGGATCAAATCACCTCATTTTTCAAGATCCAAGTGTCTCAATTGCAGACCCACGCCTGTTACTTGTATTCAACAGGGACTATAGAACTAGAGCCATCTCATGGCTGTAGCTACTGGGGGTATCACGATCGTCTCTTGCTCTGTCATCCCAATCCATATTTCCTGTTTCCTGCCATTGTTTACGCCGCCCGCTCCGACGCGCTCGCCCATCGCCCATTGCCCATCGTCTATTAGCCGTTACCCGTTGCCCATTATTGCCCGTTACCTTTGCCATCAAGGTGACAATGTGCTCCCATTAATTCCATCAATCCATCTTAACCGTCCCAATTCACACGTGTCTTTCCAATAGCATCCTCCGGCCAATTCAACTCCAGACATCCCTTGACCTACAATGGCCTTTTGCCAACGCCCATGGAATCCTTGTACGCACCGGAGAAGAAGGTTTCATGTTGCAAAGACGTCGCCAACCCACTTCTGAGGTGGCCTGTCAAGGTTGGGCTTGGCAGCAGAAACCGTGGGAAATTGTCGTACGCTTTGAATCGGAACGTCAGTCAACTTGCGGTCAAGGAACTTCCCGCACTTAAGCATGTTTTGGCCACGCTGCGCCTGTGAGAGCTCGCTTTGCAGCATCTCTCTTCTTGGTCTCGGAGTCTCGCTGCTTCCATGCTTTTCGGATCTCGTCTGCGTGTGACAACAGATCTTCCTCCGTGACATGATCACTGATCGATTCAATAACACTTTGGTAGGTGGTGATATGGTTGGCTTCAAACTTGTCGTCTCGGAAACGGTGGAATCGCCAGCGTCGAACCTGCTTTGGATTTTTGGCCCCATTGGGCAAGTCGCTGCTTTCCGGATAAGTATGTGGAGGGCTGGGACTTATGTCCTCCTGAAAACATTCCACAATGCAGTCTTGGAGTGGTCGACCTAAGGATTTCCACTCCTCCCATTCGCGGGAGTCGAGGTAAAGGACGCCCACGGGAGCATAATCGCCGTCATTGCCGCAGTTGATATATAGACCCAGTGTGTCCGGAAAGGCCTCGTAGTCTTCCTGCGGGGATTGGTCTGGATCGTCTGGATCAGGTCTCACCGTGGCCCATTGGATATGCAGCAGGAAGTCTACCGTGTTCTCCGAGGGCGGTTTCCATTTAAGGATATGCTCATCCGTGCCGGTTTTGTAGGGGGTATTCTTGCATGTGAAAATCAGCCCATCGTTCCCATGCAGCCGTTTCACTTTGGGAATGACATCTTTAAACATCTTTTCCAAAGCATAACTGAACTCCGTTGCCTTGTCCTCAACGACGAAAGGTCGTGGTAAGTTGGGGCTTTGCTTGTGCATCTCTCTGTAGGGCTGGAGAACGTGAGATTTGAAATATGCGAGGCGTTTGTCGAGAGGTCGTTGCATGAGCATAGTTTTATCCAAGATCAGGCAATCGAACACGAGAAATTTGATCTCTGAGGGCCGGTCGGGGTATTTGTCCTCGACTAGTTCTCCGTCCAAGATTGTATTCGTGTGATATCGCTGGAAAGTTGAATCTTCGTGATGAGGGAAATGGAGGCCCGGGATATAGTAGTAGTCGTTCTTTCGGTCGATCAGGTAGTGAATATCTTTTTGGTTATCTTCCGTGAGATACATCAGATACCGAGCGCCGTCCGTCTTCTCGCAGACAAAGTAGTCCTGGCTCTTGAGTTCTTGGATATGCCGGGCGGCAAAGGAGACGGGTTGGGCGCCAGGAAAGGAACGGTTCTTTCGCCCAAGCAGCTCGGACACTTCCCTCTGAAATTCCCGTTGCAACTCCGGGCCTGCCCACTGCCCACCAACACGATCGATAAGGGAGTTTGGGTCGGCGTGAGGAGCCATGGTGGAGGTTTGACAAAGTCGCAGACCTGCCTGAGATGTTCTAGGATCCAAGGTTGGTGCTTAAGACATGACAGAGAAAAGGAGAGGCAGCTCAGCTTGACTTCACCTGTGGGAAGGTCCAACTGGGAGAGGTGAATACCGTCGTCGTCGCCTGAGCAAAGGAAGAGTATCTCAAGCCAACAAGGTCTTGGACGATTGATGGTCATGCAGTGGTAGCACGCAGTGACAGACAAACATGAACAGGTGCCGCAGTTCAAGTTGCGCTTGATGCCAGTTTGCCCCGCCCTGGTCTTGGCGTCCCGAGACTCAGGCGCAGGCGGAACCTGAGGACTCGATGCGGCAGCCGGGGCCGATAACCCAACACGAAGCGGGATGCAGACACGACGGCCAGGGTCAACTGCTTTCTCTGAGTAGACAGTTGCATGTCACATCCATTTCCGGGTCTGAGCGTCGTAGCTCACTGCCCGTTCATACCTACCGAGATCGAGTAAGAGACACGCTAGACTCCCAGTATGGCGGCAGATGTGGCACGTGGTAGGTATTCTCGAGATCAGGCTGAGTATGACGCTGACTCTGTCTACAGACTCCTCGGAGAGCCTGGTGGGCGCGTCCGGTTACAAGTTCAACAAAGCCGATAAAAAACCTATCAAGTTGAAACTCAAGAAGATACCGGGGCAAGTTATGAAAGAGAGCGACACAAATGGTATGGTGTAATGATCTTGATGGCACGTCTCATTTGACTAGAATTACTTAGGAGTCCAACGTGCGGCTGTATCGTCCTCGGCCCCCTCGCCGGTCCTACCACAGTTCGACGAAGAAACCATGGCCAACTTCCCTGACGGCCGGCAGGAGGCCCTCGACACTGTGGTCTGTAAGCATTGTAAGAAGATGGTATTGAAACGGACTGCGAAAGACCACATTGCGCTCTGTATCAAATCGAAACAAGATAAGGCGCGGAAGAAGAAAGAGGCCCGAGAAGCGGCTCAGCGCGCGAAAGAGCGGGCAGAGCGGGCAGACGAAGAAGACGATGACGAGGAGGAGGTACGCGACGGCAAAGGTGCTAGAAAGAATGCTGTCGATGTGGACGCGGACGATGCGACCAAGAAAGGCAAAAAGCGCAAGGCTGAACCCGAGGAAGATAAGGACTCCAAAAAGAAGAAAAGGAAAGAAGAACAGAAAAAGGCTGCGAAACCGAAAGGCCCTGTGGATGTCGAGAAGCAATGCGGTGTCACTCTGCCCAATGGTGCGCAGTGTGCAAGAAGCTTGACATGTAAGAGCCATAGCATGGGCGCCAAACGAGCTGTGCCTGGCAGGAGCTTGCCGTATGATATGTTGCTTGCAGCCTATCAGAAAAAGAATCAGGCACGGCAGCAGAGTGAGTGGTCGCCGGAATACCTTGAATGGGACCTGTTGCTGACACATGCGGTCTACAGAGGCCGCCATCGACGCAAATGCACCAGCTTTCCTGGACGAGGACCTCGACCCGACTCTAGCAGGACCGGTAGATTCAGACGAGGAAAGAGATTCCATCATGACAGCCATCTCTAGGAGTCTGACCCGGCCTCATCCGTTAATTAGTCGCACACTGGTGCCGACGAAACGAAAATACCAACTTGTCCGGATGAAAGAGATGCTCTCCAATGCGCTAAGCGGGAACCGCAGTGGAGGACTTTTCAGCGTACCTCCCGAGAGTGTCCGGAGCACTGTTGCTGGTTCAGCAACTAACGATACGTTCTCTCAGCCCATGTCCGCTTCAGCTGCACCGACAGGAGCAAGCATGGCTCAACCTGGGCTCAAAGCCCCAGTAAGAAAGAGATCAGTCGATGTGACCTAGGAATCAGCGGTGCATCCAAAGTCGCCCAAAGGCGCATTCACGAAGCAAAAATACCGACGGATGGAAACAGTCATGGGGTTCTTTCATTTTTAGGGTCTTTCAGCCGGGCCTTTATCTGCATCATTGAAGCCCTCGTGCTTTCTACGGCCAGTCTCAGGAAGAGCGAGATGTGTCACTCGCACTTCCTAAAGCAGAGACTTGCATTGGTGCCTCCAAACCCGAAGCTGTTGGAGAGCGCGACGCCAACTTCTGCTTGCTGTGCTGTGTTTGCGACATAGTTGCAATCAAAATTCTCCCCAACGGAGCAAAGGTTAATGGTTGGAGGCAAGGCATTCTGCAAGCATGTCAGCTTACTGGAGCTTCACCCAGTCGACCACACACGTACCTCATGTATGGCTAAGATACTGAAGATAGCCTCGATGGCGCCAGCAGCCCCGAGCAAATGACCCAGAGCACCTTTCGTGCTACTTACATTGATCTGCGAAGCCTGTTTCTTGCCCAGGGGGCCCAACATTAGGGCCTTGATGGCTTGGTTCTCTGCCGCATCGCCGAGAGGGGTGGAAGTAGCATGGGCGTTGATATAGTCAACTGCCGATGGTGGGATTTGAGCGAGCTTGAGGGCTTTCTTCATGGCCAAATATGCTCCACTGCCGTCTTCTTGGGGAGCAGTGAGATGGTGTGCATCTGCTGAATTCCCGTATCCAACCAGCTCGGCGTATATTCTAGCGCCTCGCCTTTTCGCGTGCTCGAGTTCCTGATTAGACCGGTCAGAGCAACGCGCAGGTATTTGCCTAGAAAACTCCCTCACCTCCAATATGACACACGCTGCACCTTCGCTGATGACAAAGCCTGACCTCTTACTATCGAACGGCCTGGATGATAGATGTGGCTCGGCGTTGAATTGAGTGGCGAGGCTTCGAGATCGGGCGAACCCGCCAATGGCCAGCGGATGGATGCAAGATTCAGCACCTCCTGCGACCATGACATCTGCCTCTCCCGCCTGGATGAATCTGGACGCGTCGCCTATAGAGTGGGCGCCTGTAGTGCAGGCGGTGGTGGCAGCGTGGTTCGGACCCTGTTAATGGGAATTCATGAGCTCTTTCCGATGGGCAAAGAGGTGGACAATGAAGCATATTCTCACCTTCAGTCCATATCTCATAGATATGTGTCCAGCCCCAAGGTTGATCAGGAGGCGAGGGACGAACAGCGGATGGATTTTGCGATAATTCTTCTATTCGGGGAGAAAGTGGCTCAGCAAGACGGCAACCAAAATGGACAGATCGATCGAGAGATCAATGGCGCTCTTACGGCTTGGTGGTAGGCCACCGAAGTGGTATAGAGTTCCTCGAGGTTGCCAATGCCGGAGCCCAAACAGACGCCCTGCCAGTGTGTTAGATGCCATTCCTCGAGTAGAAAGAGACTAAGTGTAAAGGAGACGCGCGCAGAGCGTACAGTCATCTCAGGATCGAGTCCTTTACCGCCGTCGAATCCAGCATCCTTCAAGGCCTCTGCCGCTGCTGCAAGACCGTATTGAGCGAACTTGGCTGTCTGCCTCAGTTCCTACAGTGCCTGAACGTCAGCACGATTGTGTAGGCAGCATTGAGACAGCAAGACGCACCGTAGGCGACACATGATCTTGGGCGTGCCACACACCCTCTCCTGCACCGTCATGGGACCCAGATCCTGGGACTGAAACGGGAACAAGACCGGCGACTTGACTGGGCAGCCCGGCGAACTCGAGGCCCAAATGTCTGGTCGAGACGATGCCGCATTCGCCGTTGAGCAGTCTTTGCCAGGTTCGGCGGACTCCTGAGATAAGACCGGACCAGAGAATATGTTAGCAGTGCCTCTCGGCCTAGCCGTCATGAAGACTGGGGGCGGAACTCGGTGGTAGAGGCTCGAAGAGAACGTACCGACTCCTAAGGGCGTGACAGCTCCCAACCCGGTCACAACCACTCTGCGCATGTCATCGCCGACCGGACTGGAGACAGAGGTGTGTATCCGTATACAGAAGTAGGAGGTGTATCGATACGGACGTGATTCTCGACACTACCATGACCTAGTAGGTGCCTAGTACTTGGAACTGTATCCGTACATTACAGTTTGCAATATGCACCAACACCAACACCAAATATTCCCTAGCGCAGTCTGAGGGTCCTTGAATAGTAATACGCCTAGGCAGCCAGCCCCTAAGCCCCTAAGCCCCTAAGCCCCTTAGCCTCCTATGTATGCCTTAAGTTAGGCCCTAAGCCTTAGTAATAGGTAGCTTATAGGTGAGGCTAGGTACTTGATGGATATCTCCGATATTTCCGGGGGTAACTACCAGGGGAGTGGTGGGCGGAGAGCCGCCGATAACGACACACTCACACGGATAAAATCATATCGCAGCCGGACATGCCCGCTGCTCGATGGCTCGCTGACGCCTTCCAACGCCGATTCCCCAACGATAAAGCGGACGTTTGTTATACTTATTAGTAGTACCGCGATGCTGCTGGGGACGGCACAGACGGTGCCTGGACCAGATGTCGACTAATACACCTATGTTCTCCGTACGCTATCTAGAAGCAGCTCTTTCTCTTTTCCTTGTTTCTTCATGAGCACTGGATGAGACTGCGCAGCCTTTGACTCCGACTCTGTAGCTAGCCTTGCCACCGCAGTCATGCTCTCCTTCTCGACCTCACTGCCTTTATCGCTGCTCCTCCTTCTCCCCTTCTCCTGGGCTTCCTTCTACGACAACCCGGAGTTCGACCTGCCTCCGGAGTCGGGCACTCCGTTGGACGAGTTGAAAGCCAAATGGGACACTGATGTAAGTTCTCCTTTGGGCGCACGAGCCTCCTGGCCATTGCAACCCCGGTTCCAGGGGGGCTTGCGCAGTCCCATGGCGCGGACGTTGAGTTGGAAAGAAACATGAATGTTAAGAGAATTTTTTTCCCTTGTCTGTACAGTGGGGATTCTCAGGGATCTCGACCTTTGCCCACCTCCGGCATGTCAAATGCCTGACGACGCCGTACGAGCCGTTTGACATTGGCATCATCGGGGCCCCGTTCGACACGGCGGTCAGCTATCGGCCTGGTAAGTGGCCCCGACTTTGGCCTGCTCACTCCACCATATCTCCCATCTTTTGTCTTTGATACAATTGTTTACCATCTTCCAGGCGCCCGCTTCGGACCCCGGGCCATCCGCGCAGCATCCGCTCGCCAGACGACATTCCGAGGCTTCAACCACCGGGCGGGTATCAACCCGTATGCGTCGTGGCCGGCGGTCCTGGACTGCGGAGACATACCGATCACACCATTCGACAACGCCCTGGCGCTGCACCAGATGACAAGTGCGTACCTGGAGCTATTGTCGAGACGGCCGCTATCGTACACGAACCCGCCATCACACAAACACCCGAAGCTGATCACGCTCGGGGGCGACCACAGCATCGCACTGCCAGCACTACGAGCGCTCGAGAAGACCTATGGCCAGCCCATCGCGGTGCTGCACTTCGACGCTCACCTCGATACCTGGCATCCGGGGTCATACCCGTCGGCGTGGGCAAACACGCCGACTCAGGCAGACTTCACGCATGGCACTATGTTTTGGGTGGCGAGCGAGGAAGGTCTGATTGCTAACGGTTCGAGCGTGCACGCGGGCTTACGTACGAGGTTGGGCGGAGCTGACTGGGGCGACTACGAGAACGACGAAAACCAGGGGTTCCTGCGCATCGAGGCCGACGACATCGACGCCGTCGGCGTTTCCGGCATCATCGACGCTATCATGGACCGCATGGGCACCGAAAGGCCAGTTTACTTGTCCGTCGACATCGACGTCATTGATCCAGGCCTAGCCCCGGGTACTGGCACCCCGGAACCCGGCGGCTGGACCACGCGCGAGCTTATCGGCATCCTGCGTGGCATCGAGGGGTTGAATCTCGTCGGCGCAGATCTCGTTGAAGTCGCTCCGGCATATGACGGCAATGGCGAGGGTACGGCCTTGGCTGGCGCCCAGGTCGTCTACGAGATCCTCACGAGCATGGTTAAGCGCGGCCTCAAGGAAAGAGGCGAGGAGGTTGTGTTGCAGAAGCCTGGGAAACACATTGCCGCGGCCGCGGCCGCCAAAGCCAAGGCGAAGACGGCGAGAGATGAGCTATAAGTGTCGGTCGTTGGAGAGCTGGCCGCAAACGAGAAACGAGAAGAGAGCCTCGTCGGTCGGTTATTATGACTGTCGACGATGAGTTTGAGATGTATCATGGTATGAAGTAAGAAGCGAGACACGATGAAATGGCAACCTCAACCTCACGCTTTTATCTCAGAGGTACAATACCAAGTACAAAGTAGAGGTGTACAGTAGTAGTATATGTCCGAGATGAGATCAGAGAGGCATGTCCAATCGAGAGTGTAAATAATAGAGCCCGAGCCTGAGCCCGACTCCAAGATTTACGACCGATCTCTCTTTCTCTACGCAGTATATGACCAAACTTAGTGCTCGGAGTGCACGGATATATCTACTACGTATGTAATGCATAGAATACGACTCGGCTGGACGGATAGGATGCAAGGAAGAGAGAACAGGATGGAACAATAAGGTAAATAGCATAGCATGGAATTGCATGGACGAACCATGCTGTCCTGGCACTGGATCAAGATCAAGATCAAGATCAAGATCAAGATCAGGACCAGGCTCAAGCTTCACTGGCAGCTACATAGCTGCAGTGAGGAATCATCTCATCTCATCTCATCTATTGCTGGATTGGATTGTTGGATTGTTGTAGTGTTGTGTTGTGTTGTGGTATCCTCCCATCAGACGAGCTCACAACTCTTGAAAAACAAAAAACAAACCAGTTCCCGCCATCTTTCGTACAGTGCCCAAGCAAATCTAACCACCTAAGGAGCTAATTGTCACGTACGTCGGTCATGAGAAACAGGGACAAGAGCTTCCGAGCGAAACGCCCTCTCGCTGCTTGACCCAACTCAACCCAGCTCAAAACGCATCCAGGAGCTCTCATGGTACCACCCAGCAGCGGCAGCTCAACGCGGAACAAGAAATGCCTCTGGAGCAAACACAGTTCCTTCGGGATCCCATAAAAGGACAGACCGCCACCATTCTCTAAATCATCAAATGTCCCATACCCCAAGCTCCTCAACCTGGAAACGCCTTGCTTTCAGGACACAAGCGCTTTTCCTCGTCTTATCATCTTCCATTACTGGCACTCCAGCAAATCTTTTCAACAAGCCCTTCCTAAGACGGTGCTCAGAAATTGTATCTCGAGCCTTGTCGACTAACTGGTTTCCCTTGACGATTCAGAACAACCGCCGCCGTTGGCGCGTTCTTCACAGTCGGCGCGTCTTCATAACTGACATTCTTCTTGCCTCTACCGCGAGGCTTGAGCGGAGGATCCACGTGTCGATGGCCCAACTCCGCCACCGCCATGCTATTCCTCCAGCGCAGGCATCGGCGACTCTTGTCGCTGATGAGGGTTTTCGTCCGCGTCGATATTCTTGTAGACGGCTCTTCCGACTTTTCTCGCGGCGCCAAATATGCGGCACGTTTCTCCATATGCTTGATGATAACATCCCTCAGCAGATTGAGCTCCTTTTTGAGTTTCAACTCTCTCACTCCGCGTGAATCAAGCCAGCCAATGAGCATGTCCAGTTCTTCTGCTGTCTCGTAAAACCCCCACTGGCTCGCTGAATGTAGGTTGGTACTGCCTTCCTCCAGCATCTTGCGCTCCTCCGGTGTCATTTGGAAGCGCCGATAGTATGCATTCTTGCCCGCTTCCCCGACCTCGAGAAATCCTTCGCGCTCCAGGTCATCGGGGCCTTGAACCCAAATCCGGCCATTGGCATACCCGGCGTCTGCTGTGGAACTCTCTGGCAATCCCCCATGAGGCATGGCGTTCCGTTCAAACCACCAGTACCTGTTGCAGAACCGGTCCTTACCAAGAGCGCGTGTGCGAGGACAATCTGCTTCACGCATGTCGTTGTCGACAGTCATGATCTGTTCTTCTGCAGCTTCGATTTTATCTCGCTCTTTGTCAATCAGCTTGAGCACCTTTTGGTATTCCTTACTCCCTTTGTTTTGCTTCGCTTCGGCCGCTTTTTCTTTTCTCTCTTGTTCTTGCTCTCGCTTTCGTTTCCGCTCAGCAGCTCGATCACTGCCACGACGCAGAGAGCGTGTGACCATTGGTTCTTCGTCCTCGGAATCAGGAATCGATGCGTCGTGCTCTTCAACGGTCTTCTCTGCTTCTTCAAGTTCTGGCATAGGAGAAGGGGACTTTTCAGGTTCAGGCGCCAGTAGTCGTTTTTCGACTTGAAGCTCCTTCAGTCTTGACAGAGCTTCTTTTCGAGCGCGTTGGTATTCAATCTTGAGCTTCCGGTACTGTGTCATGGTGTTGCTCATCTCTTCCAGGAAGTCCCTCACAACCTTGGTTTCCAGGAAGAGTCGGCAGATGATTTGCAGCGCCTCAGCTCGTAGGTTGATATCCATGGTAGAGTATTGCAATTGAGCAGTTTCAATGGTAGGCTCGGCATCAAGGGGTGCGAGATGAGCGAGTAATTTGTTGCATGCATCTGTAAACCTGGGCTTCGCACTTAATTGATGAAGTAATCCCACCATGACCAACTCCCATCCACCCTGTCTCAGATCTCGCTTTCGCAGTCTCTCGATCCAACCATATTCCCCAAACATCTCTGCTGCACGATGTGGGATGACATCGGCCTCTATTTCTTCCTCCTTGGCCTGCTCATTCGCAAATTGAACCTTGTTGAGACTACTACGAGTGCGCTTGGCGGGATACTCGGGCTCGGGAGTCGGTGTAGGTGATTTGCTCTCCTCTTCCTCAGACTCTTCTTCGTCGGTGTCCTGGTCCGGAAGATCGGGAAGAGAAATTTGAATCGCTCCCTCGTTGTCATTCTCGGCATTGACCAGCTGTTTGAGTATTGCGCAATGCACCTCGACAAACAACTCGCAATCAATCTCCGGCGAAGAAAACAGCATAGCTTCAACAAAGTCATCAAAAGTGAACGAGTCAAGCTTCAATACCTGGCAATAGACATTGAGGGTATTCCAAGTCTCGAGAAGGAGGCCAACGGTTTCTGCCTTGAGACCTGAGATGACATTGTGCATCATCTTCTCGTCCTGTGATTGCTCTTTGGCCGCAAACTTCAGTGTAGGTCGATGGGTGCCATCACGGACGGGCTCGACGTCTAGATCTTCGATTGGATACTTGATCGGAGGCGGTGGTGGGGGAGGTTGCTGGACGATCTGCTTGGGCGGCGGCATCTGTTCGGCAGGCTGGGGATAGTAATGGCCATTCGGCGGCATATAGGGAAGAGCATAGCCCGGGTACTGGTGGGCAAACTCTGGCGGGGGTGGCGGAGGTGGTTGCATATGACCCCAGGATCGAGGCAACAGTCCGGGATCAGGCATAGCACCTGGCCGGTAGTCCTGATAGTATGCTGGCGGAGTGGGACCTGTCCGTTCCGGATGTTGCTGAACATGCTGGCTCTTCTTCCCCTTGGGAGCAGGCTTCAACTCGGGCAATTTATGATTTTGCCAGACTGCAAACATAGCGTCTTGCTCGACAACGTTTTTCTTCTCTGCTTTCTTTGCTGCTGACTTACTGCTATATTGTAGATGCGGAGGAACATTGGTGTCGATGCGAAAACGTTCGGCGACCTCTGGTTTGACGAGCCAAGGAGCGCCGGTCCAGCCCTCCCTGGTCACGGTGTTCTTGATGAATGAGCGGAGCATCTGTTTGGTAAAGACTTTGCGATCTCTGGCAATGTGGTTGTCGTCGACCAGGGCCTCCTCGTCGGGGCGATCGATGAGCCGGACGAAGTAGCGGGAGAACCCTTCTCTTAGCACAACGCCGTCGGGGCGTTTGATTTCGGCGAACTTCGCTTTGTCTCGGACCCGGCCGTATAATCTGGTAGAATCGTCCAGAATGACAGTCACCAGCTCACCTGGATAGAAGTCATTTTTGAATTCATTGAATACCTCCTCCACGAGATTGTCGAGCCGGGAGGTCGTCGAGAATTGGACGCGGCGCAAGACAGGCTCTCGCAGGGCCTGAGGAAATGCCTCGTCGATTTCCCGCGATCCAGCCTGTTCGCTGCGGAGGGCATCAAAGAAAGTCAAGCCGGAGCGACCAGTCACTTCGCAGGTGAAGCGCTTCGACTTGAAAAAGTCCATGCGCTCCAGATATGCGTCGTAGGACGTGAAGACTTCATTGGCCTCGGGTATGACCCATACATCGCATTCCTGATCATCCAAGTGCGGGTGCGGTAGGTACCGTACAGGCTTTCTCTTAAATAGTACCATCCTGGCGGTGTCGGAGTCGAGGAGCGACTCGGGTTGCAGGCGGCGGGGCTAACAGACCACAGGAGAGTGTCGCAGGAGGGCGGTTCAAGGGTGCCACGACCTAGATTCACCAGGTGTCAGTCGTGTGGACGTGTCGGACTGAAGTTCAGGGTCCAGCACGGAGGATGGGGGCTTCGCGACGACCGTATAGACGTACTTATGGCAACGAAAACGCGTCATGGAGGGAGACTGGTCGACTGCGAGCGGAGGGGAGCAGGCGAGTGGTGAATATGAGGCAGGGTGGGAGTGCTGTTCGCTGCGTGGTGGTGAAGAGCAAAGAGGAGGAGAGGAGAGAAGAAAGACAGGCACAAAGAACTCAACATGACGAGGAGGAGAGAACAATAATGCAGAGGCACAGGATGCGGCAAGGCGAGAGGAGGGAACCAGTTCGTAGTTGTGAGTGGCCGCAGCGGGTGCCGGATGTGGAGCCTGAGTCCGCAGTCTGATCTGAGGCCGGATGCGAGGAGTAGTACGCTTGCCCAGGCGGGAGAGGGAGACGGGGAGCCTCTGGAGGAGTAAGGCACGGGCATGGACAAGGCTGCCAGGAAGCAAACCTAACCAACTGCGTACATGCGTGTCTATAGAACAATATAACAATAGAGCATTAGAGATCATGGCAACGGCGGTGGAAATACAGGCCGTAGCATACCATCTCCAGCCCGGGCACGCAGCATCGCAGCATCAGATCAACGTGCAGGGCTTCACGTCAGCCGCGCCTTCCTCCCGGGCGAGTCGGCACACCTTCCGGTTGCGGGCCCCTAAACTGCTGGCGCAGTGCCCAGCCTTTCGGGTGGCTCTCGCGCTACGCCCGCTCGTGCCCAATCACTTCCCCCTCGACTCCTCGACTAGCCACGGTCAGTCGCCAAATCCCTCGCCCGGCCTTATTCATAGGCATACGGGTACTCGTTCGAATCCTCTCGCTACGCCGAGTCCAGATCGACCAAGTGCAGCACCAGCAAACCGCGTAGGATCGCGACAGATTCCATTATCAGTCTCTCAGCCCCGTCCGTCCCATTCTCCCCTCCCCTATCCCAAGGATTAGCTACGGGGTACTCACATTGGCGCCATGAGCGACAAGCATATCGCCTCTTCAGCCACCCCAGACTTTTGCAGACGCCAAATACAAAATAGGATGACTGTGGCCACGCGCTCGAGCATCATACACTGACATCAATCAACTACACCATGGCACGAGGTCAATTGAGCTGTGTGATTAGGCCGCTTTGATTATTATTGTGTCTATGACGCCCGTTTTTATTGTACTTCTGTGCCGGACCGCTCTAGGTCGTGGGCTTCAGGACAAATAGCAGACCATGAAGCCCAGCCATGAGCCGAGTACGCCGACGGCTGAATAGGTGCTAATGAACATCAGCGGCAGGAATTCATACTTCTGCCCAAACACGATCCTGTGCAACAGCGAGCAATAGACCATCAATGGTACCGAAACAACAATGTAAAGCAGCGCGAATCGATCCAACAGGAAAACTCTTCTCCTCGACGGTGCCGGAGCCAATTGGTCGAAGGTGTACAGAAAGATGATCAACCAGGAAACTGTGTACGCCACTTTGATGGGAAATTCTGCCGCGGTAAAGATCAGCGGAAACAAGGACACATGGCCTGCGACTGCAAGAGGGCGGAAGCTTGCTAGGTATGACCGGTCCTTGGCCGCCAGAAGGCTGAAGGGAATGATTACCAAGAGAATCGCCTTTTCGTGAACGTGCCAGCCAAAAAGGAACGATGCATATCCACACAGTGTGATGGCTCCCACAAACGACTCCCAACTGGGTGCGAGCCACAGTTTCGTCAGGGCAACGATTTGAAAGGCCAATGTAAGCCCGAAACAGTGCCGAGCTGTGATCTCGGGTAAGACTGCGAACGATGTGTCCCCAACCAAACCTCGAGTGACACTGTTGACAGCATTCTGGTCAACATGGAGCCAGAGATAAGGGGCTGTAAATATCAAGATCCGATCCAGGAAAGAATAGATAGCCCACACATTTGGAGCCCAGTATGCGTGGCAGAGCCCTCGGGCAAAGGGAAACAACCTATCCCTGAGTTGTTGGAGCTGACCCCAAGCTGCAAACGGACCGAATGCTACCCCAAAAATTCCGATGATGATTGTTCCAAGTTTGAGAACATTGACGATTTGTGGTCGCAGTATGTTCTTCGGGTCGAGGCAGTACATTCGTAGAAGGTACACGAAGTAAGCAGGCGCCAGATAAAGGTAAATGTGCTTGAGGCATAACAGAAGGGCAAACAGTATGCCACTGTACAGTAAAGTTGACTCTGTTCTTGCAAGGACAATTGACAGTACCAGCACGCCGTATAGAAATCCATTGTACTGGAAATGAATGTGGTCGATGATCAGAAGTCCAGGAGAGAGCAGAATTGAGAGTGCCACAGCGTGGCTTTGGCGACGAGTCGAGGGAGGCGATGATTTCGTATATCTATCACAATCAGAGCCACACTCCTACCAATGACCTTCAGCATACCTGTGTAACGCATAGACCAGGAGCAGTTCTGTCAATATCACCGAACTCCTTTGGAAACACACGGTGGCCCATGAATCGTAGTTCAAGTTCTTGATCTGCACCATGGCAGGATCAATCAGGCTCGCCGGATACGACAACAGCCACTCGAACACTGCGAATCCCGGAGGGTAGTCGAGGGTCCACTCTGATGTGGCCTGGGTGGGCAGTCAGCGCTGTCGGCGACGACGTCGATGTTCCAACTCGACTAACCTCGTAATACCAGCGCTTAACGGGCAACGTATGCGTGATGGCCAGCCAGTTTCGATGAACCTCAAAGTCGGTCGATTTGTATGCCGGGAATAGCAGGATTTTGAAAGCAGTGGCCACCACAGCCGTCTGGAGCAGTGAAGGCCATTGATCACTGCCAGGTTCTCGTGCTGCTCTCGGCTTCGGCCGTTCCTGGTCCACCATTAGCTGATAGAGCTCCGAGGGAGGCACAGGTCCAAGGCTCCGTCCTCACAGGGATGATAGGGGTCCTGTCACGGAGCTGGCTGAGAGAGGCCGAGACAGCAGATGCCATTATTGGCGGGGAGGATTGTCGTCCGGTCGAGGCGTACTTGATATTGATATGTGCCTGGTCAGGAAGGAGTGCCACATATCTGTACTCCGTACTAACCTGGTGAAAAGGTACCTTATGTGTGTCGGAACCCGTTGAAAATCACGCTACTTTACCGCGGCCTGGTTGACCAATAGTAGTGCATTACTCTTGCCTGAACTTCAGTCTACCCGTATTACCTAAATCTGGCCTCTTTAAGGACACAGGATCTCACAACGATACTGCTTCCCCATGCACTTTAATACCCTGCCTGCACCTTGCGCATTAAGGCCACTTCTTCGGCGAGTACGTTGATCTAGCATTTGGATGGACGCACTTGAAGGATTCAAACATAATGTTGCTTTCAAGAGCTTGAATGTTAGACATCTTGTTGAACCATCTCCCGTCGCACTCGATCTCGCCCGCGAGATTCGTTACTGCGTCATTGCGGTCTGCATCACTTGGGCCTCTGTATCAATATTCCGTACTTGGATTACACACAAGAAAGACTCTTCCTGAGCGTTGCTTCTCAGCTGTCCTCTCCGGCTCTTCTACCTTCCTCAAGTCAGTGCGAGAGCAGCTCCCTCACCCCGTCGTCATGCTGACCTCGATACAGAAGCCTATTCTCAAAAAGTTAACCAGCATGCCGAACCTCCACCTTGCGTGGCTATCCCTTCTCTGGGCAACCGTAGTCCTGTGCCAGAGCGTGGTGGAAGAAATCTCTTTTGGCCACAAACAAGGCATTTCGCCCAATTCCTTCGCTATTCCTGGCTGGGCCATGTTAGGGGAAGGACACGTGCCTCAACTCCTCTCCGATAAAGTCATCTTAACCCCTCCATACGGTGCACACAAGCGAGGTGCGTTGTGGTCAGAACAGAAGAACCCTTTACAAGAATGGACGGCAGATCTTAAATTCAGAGCTGGTGCAGTTGACCGGGGGACTGGTCACTTGCAGTTGTGGTATGCGAACAACGGAGAGAAAAGCATAAGCACGTCAAGCATATATACCGCAGGGAAATGGGAGGGTCTGGCAGTTGTCGTTGATACAGTTGGAGGGGTCCAGAAGATCCGTGGCTTCTTGAACGACGGGTCAGTCGAGTTCAAGAGCCACCTCAATGTTGACAGCCTAGCCTTCGGCCACTGCGACTATATCTACCGCAATTTAGGTCGACCGTCGCACATCAATGTTAAGTCGTCCAGGACCGGTCTCGAAGTCAGAGTAGATGGCAGAATATGTTTCGCCACGGATAAAGTCGCCCTTCCTTCAGACTATAACTTCGGCTTGACTGCTGCCTCCGCCGACCCGCCCGACTCGTTTGAAGTCTTCGCCTTCACACTATCCTCCATCTCAGTGTCTCCTGGAGACCAAAGGACTCCCCAACAGCCAGCGCAACAACAGCCGCCCCCAGAGAACTCTGTTCCGCAAGCAGACGACCTCCCGGCCTCATACTACACAACTTCCGAAGCTCAATTCGCCGATCTACACAACCGACTCAACCTACTGTCAAAGGCGATTGCAAATCTATTTACTGAAGTCGCTCGGCAGAGCACTAACGCAGAAGCCCGGCACAAGGAGATCCTCGGTCGCATGCCGAACGGACAGATGATTTCGTCGCTGGATTCCCGGGTCGCCAACCTCGACCGTGTTGTTGGGAATCTGGAGCGCGAGCTCAAGTCGTCCGACCATAAGGCGCAATTTGCCAAAATATCCGAACAAATCGCCCAGACACATGTCGGCGTGACGGAGCACGTACCCCAACGTCTCCGTGAATATGTGCAGGCGCACACGCCACGGATAGGCTTCATACTCTATAGTTTCATGGCCTTCCAGACGTGTTGCGTTGGGGCGTTTGTGTGGTATAAGTGGCGGAAGAGCACGATGCCGAAGAAATACCTCTAGGTAGGGAATTGGACTCTTGAGGGAGAAGGGTTCGGAGAGATCGAGCAAGCTGAGATCTCATTTGTGTGGATCCAGGCCAGTGCCTGTTCTGATATGCCTGCCGCTAGGAAAGATCTGTCACGTCTCTGTACCACCAAAATTGATCATTGCCATGGTTTTGGATTCAATACATGGTTGTTCTATCTGACAATGTGCCTCTTGCCTACCTAGGTATCTTGATCTTCACATCATACGTCATCCATCGTCTATGGGAGTTGTTCACTTTGCAGCAAAGGCTTCATCTGACACATTCGTATGGATGGACATTTCTGACCGTTCCCCGGGTCATGCTATCTCGGTGCCGGCTTCGGGATCTCGCTGCTGGGGATGATTCGGCGCTGGAAGTCGGCTTTCGCTCTGCTTTTACACTGCGCGGCTCAAGGGGTGCATCTGTAGGCGAAGCGTGGGTAGAGTGCGCACTCCCTCACTGTCCATCGGCCGCACATCCAAGCGAGAAAGCGTTCGAGACCCAGCCCATAGCCGCCGTGAGGGGAGGTGCCATACCTACGTCGCGAGAGAAAAGGTTAGCAACAGACTATCGGGAGTAAAGAGGAAACAATGGTGGTCTCCATTGCCCTGATGTTAGGGTGGGTTTTCCAAAGGAGTTGAACGTACCGTCTTTGGTCTGTATACCAGTAGTAAGGGGCCGGATCGATTCCCTCACGCTTGTACGCAGCCATGAGCTCCTCGTAATCATCCATACGCATACTCCCACCCACTATCTCACCAACTCCGGGCATGAGCGCGTCCACACTCTCTGTGACCCGCTTGTCGCTGTCGTCCTTCTTCATGTAGAAAGCTTTGATCTCGACGGGGAAGTGGGTGAGGAAAATAGGCACGTTGAGCTCGTCGGTCATCTTGCGTTCCGCGGCTTCGGCAATATCGTCGCCAAACTTGTGCGGCTGACCTTCTTCGTTGGGGATGTTGTGCTCGATCAGCCATTCAATAGCCTCGGCATACTTCATGCGGCGGAAGGGGCGGGTGGGAGGAGTAAATTTAGGGTTGAGTTCCTTTACATAGCCCGCAATGACAGGGTCGGCGAGTGTAAGTTCAATGACTCGGCAGATGACGTGCTCGAGGTGTGCGAGGAGGTCGTCGAAGGTGATGAAGTCTAGTTCGGCTTCGATGTGTGTGTACTCGGACAGATGGCGTCGGGTCAGGGATTTTTCGGCACGGAAGGATGGGCAGATGCAGAAGACGTCGCCCAGAGAGGGGAGGCACGTTTCAAGGTACAACTGCGAAGATTGCGTCAAGTAGGCCTTTTCGCCGTAGTAGTTGAATTCGAACAGTGTGGCGCCGCCTTCGACCTGCGTCTGCACCATGGCGGGCGGTGTGACTTCTGTAAGTCGTGTTTCTACGTAGGTCTGGCGGAACGCTCGTGTCACGGCCGCGCGGACTTTCATGACGGCGGATGCATTGTCGCCTCGGAGGACCAGGTGGCGGTTGTCCAGCAGGGTCTGCGCGTCGCCGTCCTGTTGAACTTTGTTGGTTATGGCATCCTTGTCGCCGACAGCAGCTCCGATAACAGTGAAGTAGTCAGCGTGCAGTTCGCGGTCGAGAGGCGCATGGGCTTTAGGGGGCAGAGCTCTGAGCTCGCCGTGAATGGCGAGTGAGGTTTCCAGGGTCAGGGTCAGGGCTGCATAGGTTTTGATCAGCTTGCCGCTAAACACGCATTGCATAAGACCATAGCCGTCTTTGAGAGTCACAAAAATGATGTCCTTCTGAGAGCGTAGGTGGTGGACTCTCCCAAGCACACGGACACGCGTGCCCGGACTGTCCGATGTGCCCAACTTGATTTTCGCTGGGTCGGTCTCATCGAGTCGGACCCTGACGGGTGCGGGAAGACTGGCATCTTCTTCGAGGGTGATCTTCTTGGCGTCTTCCAGGACTTGTTGCCGTCTGACTGCTTCAGCGTTCTCGCGGATGGCCAGTTCGGATGCTTTGGCTTGCTTTTTCTTATGTTGCTCATACAAGTTGGTGGCTTTCTTTGTGGCAGATTTAGAGGGCGCTTTCCATTCGAGACGGCCATCCGGGTTTCCATCGGCATCGAGGGGACCAGTGACGGATTTGCGGATTTGATACGTGGCGCTCTCAGGAGGGTGTCTGATCATGGCGTGGAGAAGAGTCTTGTATGGGGCTGTTTCAGTCCCGACGGCGGAGTCATCGTCGCGCCCGACATCCTCGTCGATATAAATCGAGGAAGCCATACCAGCAAGCCGTGGAATGAGGTTCAATGTAAAGCAGACAAGATGAGTTTTCTTCGGGAATGGAACTGAATTGATTCAAACAGGCACATGTGAGTCACGAGCTGATGATGATGATGACGATGCAATGGCAGACCAGCAGCTGACGAGGCGCAGCTGAGCTCGACGATGTGAGGATAAGTCGACACAGTCCACGATCGATCAAGAAGTACGGTGTACCTGGGTAAGCGGACGAGGTGGCGGTGAATAGAGTGAACAAGTGACTTGGTCAAGCAAGGGCCGTGAATGAGTGACTGACTGATAAGCTCTTCCAAGGCCTAAGCCCCTCGATAATAATTTTTTATGTGGCCGCCCACTCCTCCGTACAGCAGTGCGCGGGCGGGCGGCTGCGGGTCAAATGGAGACGAAGGACTGGCTGGATTCGCGGCTGGTGCGGCTGTCTACATCTAAACTGGCGTCAGGAACGTCTCCGCGACGGAGCCGCCGCCGTCACTGCTGAATGGCCCAATCAAGCTCCTGCCGTGCCCAGCAATCAAACCGACGCCACAGTTTGGCAAGAACGGCCCGCCGTCTCTCTCTGCCACTCTTCGCCTTCTTCGCCGTCTTCGTCTCGCGCTCTGACCATCGAGAAGCGTCTGCAGGGTGGAAACTGGTACAGGCTGCTGCCAGCGCAATGCCATGTTCCATGTTCCTGTCGAACCGGCCAGGGACACGCACACGGCCCCTATAATTGTGAATTTTGGGCAGTGACGACGTGGTCCTGCGCACCGCAAAGATGCCACTGCGACTCCTGTAGGCGGCTGTTCTAAGCCCGTCTTTGCATAGTGCCGCCTAAGCCCTTCAGTCGCTGGCCCAGCAGGCCCAGCAGCCCGCCCTGGCAGCGTGCAGATTGATCATCCCCCAACACCCCCGGCCTGCATCTACGGATACTGCAGGCTGATCTGAACTTACCCCGTGTATCACCTCTCCCTGGCCCCGAAAGCACGTTTGTGTCAGAAACCCCCGTCAGGGCCATTCATGCGCCTCCTGAATGAGCAGTGTCAACACTGGACAGGAATGCAGACGACAGTTCCCATGGGCGAGGCCGTAGGTGTGTTCCTGGCCCTGAGCCGTGTCTATGGAGTGCCGGCGCCACACCCGTGTACCCTTTTCCCCTGCGGCCGCATCTCACTCTCGCCCCTTATTCGCTGCGCCGAGCCCATCCACTTTGGCACTCTCGCTCGCGGCTCTCCTTGTCACCACTACTACTAGCAAGCAAGCAATCCAAACTCCATTCTTTCGCTCTTCCTTGTGCTTGTTGCTTGCTCCCATCCTTCTTTTACTTCCTTTCCCTCCCTCGTCCTCACTCGCTCATTGTCCTCGCTGCTCTATCTTTTTTCTATTCCATCGTTATTGTTTCTCATTCCATTCCTTTCGCTCATTCTATTCCCCACGGTCGCTACACCACTCTTATTCTCACTTGCCGCCATAGACTCCTACGTTTGCAGTTCACTAAACTTCAACACGAAAGCCTCAAGATCCTAATCTGTCCACCTGCCACCGATCGTTACTCGCAACTGCGGTTGCCTGGTGCCTCGACCGAGCCCTCCCTTGACTGGAGACGAAGATCACACCTACCCAATTCTGTTGTGCTTGGACTTGTCCGGGGCGCACTTCGAGTCAAGAGTCCCATATGCTGGCCGCAATGCAGAGTCAAGACGTGTTTGGGGGGTTTGGCAGCCGTCTTGCATCGTCGAAGTTTGGTACAGACAATACTGGCTTCAGCCATGGTGCCTTCAATTCCAATCTCGGGGCTTTTCAGGGTTTCAGCGACCGCAACATGCGTAAACCCGTTCCTTCGATACCAACCGCACCTAGAGACCAACAACCTACATATAATGCCAACGAACAGACGCCCGGTCCCGCGTTTGATATGAACTTCACGCCGCTGTTGCCTTCTCAACTGCTTCTCGGCAGCCCCTTTCAACCTGGCTCTCCCGGCGCCTTCGGTTCGCCGCAGTTTCCAAGCTTCAACCGTCTCCCACAGGGAACCAATGCTCTGCACCACCAGACCCAGCAGTACCAGCAAAACCAACAAGCTCAAGTCCAACTTGGAAGTCCCGTGCAATCAAACGCCAATCTCCTATCGTCTCAAGGATATCAGACGGTCATGACCCCGGAGGGCTACACAGCACATTCTCCCACCGGCTTCTCTGGCCTAGGCAACGCGGCATTTGGTCATTATCAACCAATGATGGGGATGGGCCACACCTGGATGCCTGGGACGAGTCGTACAGTCTACTTGGGAAATATTCCAGCCGACACTACTGCAGAAGAGATCTTGAGTCATGTTCGGAGTGGCCAGATTGAGTCCGTGCGACTCTTACCAGAAAAGAACTGTGCCTTCATTTCGTTCCTCGACAGCAGCTCTGCCACTCATTTCCATTCCGACGCGATCTTGAAAAAGCTTTCGATCAAAGGCCATGATATAAAGATTGGGTGGGGTAAGCCATCTGCAGTGCCTACTTCCGTTGCTCTCGCCGTTCAGCAATCCGGGGCATCCAGGAACGTCTACTTGGGCAACCTTCCAGAAGATATCACTGAGCAAGAGCTTCGAGAGGACCTGGGAAAATTTGGTCCCATCGATACCGTCAAAATGGTCCGTGAGAAGGCGATCGCCTTTGTCCATTTTCTATCTATTGGCAATGCCATCAAGGCCGTGGCTCAACTTCCTCAGGATCCCAAGTGGGGTCCGCCACGCCGCGTGTATTATGGCAAGGATAGATGTGCATACGTCTCCAAGACCCAGCAGCAAAACGCCGCGCAGTACTTGGGCATCGCTCCTGGCTATGCCCATGTCCTCAATGGCGCCGACCGTGACCTGATCTCCAACGCCCTGGCACAGCAATCCGTCGCTGCAGCCGCGGTGGCTACCACAGCTGGCGGCGTCAATAATCTGGGTAATCGGACAGTGTACCTGGGAAACATCCACCCCGAGACCACCATCGAAGAGATTTGCAATGTGGTCCGAGGAGGCCTTCTTCACCATATCAGATACATACCAGACAAGCACATCTGCTTCGTGACATTCATCGATCCCACATCCGCAGCGTCGTTTTATGCTTTGAGCAATCTTCAAGGTCTCATGATCCACAACCGACGACTGAAGATTGGCTGGGGTAAGCACTCGGGAGCCCTTCCACCTGCCATTGCTTTGGCCGTCAGCGGGGGCGCGTCTCGCAACGTGTACATTGGTAATCTCGATGAGAGTTGGAACGAGGATCGTCTACGACAAGACTTTTCCGAATATGGCGAAATTGAGCTGGTCAACACACTACGTGAGAAAAGCTGTGCTTTTGTCAATTTCACCAACATTGCCAACGCCATCAAAGCGATCGAGGCGGTCCGACAGAAGGAAGAATACAAGCGCTTCAAGATCAACTTCGGCAAAGATCGATGTGGCAATCCTCCACGTCTCAATAATGTGAATGGCAACCATAGTCGACTACCAGGGACACTGGATGCGACCGGTTCTCCCGCCACGATGAACGGATTTGACAACCCGGTATCGCAGCCAGGGGCCAGTCCCACGAGAGCAAATGTTCCGCTCGGGCCAAAAGCCTCACTGAGCGGACAGTCGCACAACATTCCTCGCCAACATCAACCCGTCATTGCCGCTCCAACCCCATCCGCAATTTTGAACGCCGGAAACAACAACCCCTTGACAATGTACTTGACACACGTATCTCAACAGGCGCAGGCCGAGCAGGATATGCGGGAGGATGGGTTGCCATTCGTTTCATTGCAACAGCAACAGAATCAAGCACTGGCAAACCAACAGGCAGCATTGTATGGCGACATGCCAAACGGCCACAGCGGACTCGACGCCACTACTCCGTCTCACGTACCACGACAGAACAGCATAAGTGGCGGGTTTGCGGCTAATTCCATGAGCAATGGCACGTCCACTACGATTGGTGGTCTTCTAGCTCCGACCAACACGGGTCTGGGAGCAAATCGAAGTGCACATTCCAGAGCCGTTTCTCTTCCTGCATTCTCGCAAGAGCTTTTTGGCGGGCAGCAATCTAGCCAGCAAGGGCCCTCCTCATCCCGTGGGTTTGGAGGACACGCCCCTCAAGGCAGTTTCGGCGGCTTTGGATCTGCCTTTGGCACTGGCTTTGGCACCAGTGGATTCAATGGACTTGGACTGACGAGCGACAGCCGCAGTGCCCTCTCCGGTTGGGCTGAGGAGGAAATCGGAGCAAAATAAGCACATTTAATCATCACTATTTTCTTTTGTTTGCCGGGTTCTGGGGATCTGGATTGCTTTTTGAGTCTTTGAACGCAGGCCACATCATTGGCAAATATCCCTGTTATAATATCTTGTGTTTATCGGAGGAGTTTATGTCTTTTTCCTCATGGCGACATTCGCCTTCTATTGCAGCTCAGGACTGCAGATCATTGTCTTACTACTGTGGCATTCTGGTATTGAGGGCAACTCGACAGACGATAACCGGACTCTGCCCGGTCACAGTCCATGTCATCGAAATGTACATATACGTTGTCTTGGGATGGGGAGGCGGAAGACAGATGATAAGCAGGCCATGATACACCGGTGCGATGAGTATCTACGTCCAATAGAATAACTTTGATATCGGCAGTGGTCCAGGTCCAGGCCCGGCAATGAGATATAGGAATTTCGAGATCTTCTTCCAGGCCATTTAAACGGAGTGTACGGAGTAGACCAGATAACAGGGTTGCGAGCGAACAGGGGCACACGATCAAGATAGATGACACTGTACCCCGTACAAGGAAGGATCGCGACTTTAAAGCACACCACTCGCTTGTTTGACGTGTCTAGTGAGGAACAGTGATCTGTCCGACTTGGTCTTTGGTACCCAATGAGGTCGAGAGAAGCTTTAGAGAAAGAACCGTCGTGGATCTATGCATTTCTAACAGTTGGTGGACAGGTGTGCGGACAGTAGCGCAGGTGTCACAGTCAAGGGGCTTGAGATGGCGAAGAAATCACCAGTTGCGTGCTCGTGCTCTGCGCTGGGCGGCGGCTGCGTGGGTTTGTCCGAGACGTGCCAGGCTGCGCTGTTTCCGCGCAGTTGTTTCGTGTATACACCATGCCAGATGGAGGCAGAAGCAAAGCCACCAAGCCAACCAGCCCGACGAGGCCTTGCTTGATCGGTACAAGTGAAAAGGGTCCAGATTGAGGACGGGATGGGGTTGAAGGGGTCAAGGTTGAAGAAAAGTCCCCTATGAGCGGTGATCGATAATGGGGTTGCGACGGTGGTGGTAGGAGTGGTAGGAGTGGTAGGAGTGGTAGGAGAGGTAGGAGTGGTGAGTGGTGGGAGTGGTGGTGACCCGGACTGCGCCCACGATTCCTCTTTGGACTGCTAAGGTGCCCTCCTCTCCCTGCGCTCGATCGACCACGGTGCGGTCCAGTGTTGTGAGCTTCCTCTCCCACCACCATCTTTATTACACCTACACCAGCGACGAACTACTTACTCCCTGGCTGGTCGTTCTTGTTTATCCCGTCTGCGGCCCCCATATATCTTCGCTCTCACATCCTCCCTCACACCTTCTACGTGTCCGCGTCCACGTCCACGTCCATTGTCCATTCTAACCCGGCTCCGCGCGCTGAGTCCAACTATCATCCAACTATCCCCCTCTCTGCCTCTGACATTTCCGGTAAATGGCTGTCCTCTTTTCTCACCACTAGACTTTTCAAAGAAAGACTTGTATTGGACACATCTCCATCCTTCTCTTGCTGGTCAAATCTTATACTGTGATTCCTGGGACCGTTGACCGCCCTGCTCGGATCGCAAGCTACACCTTTCTCTCCCTTCGCTTCAGCGACTGTCGACTGTGAGTCCAATCGAGACCAATGTGCAAGAGAAAGAGCAGGAGAATCTGACAAGACACAAGTAGTGCTGTCTTCCTCCGCAATAAACATCCGAGACTTTTCTGCCTGGTTTTTCGCGCCCGCTACGTCTGGCCGCCCACCTGATTGGGAAGCCCAACACAGGGAGTCTGTCACCGCTTCACTGGTACGTGGTATAAAAAGTTCACGTGCGCGGTGCCCTTCCTTCCCCCCTACCACCTCACTGGTAAGCCGACAAGATGTTGTCCCAATTCAAGACCTTCCTGAAGAAGAGGAAACTAAAGTTCCTTGTCCTCAGACCGACCAAGCCTGCTGGTATCCGACATCTTGACTCCGCTACCTACCAAACAAACAAGGACGGAATGGTTGTCGCCACGATCAAGTGAGTTGCTCATCAGCCGATCTTGACCACATTGTCCCTGCAGGCAGCACCACTAACAATACTCTATAGGTGTGTGGTTGTCGGTGACGGTGCTGTCGGCAAGACATGCTTGCTGATCTCCTATACCACCAACAAGTTCCCTTCCGAATATGTTCCGACAGTCTTTGACAACTATGCTGTGACGGTGATGTAAGTCTATACACGGAATCTTGAGTTCCTAGATCGATACGCCCGGTCATACGATCGCAAGCCTGTGACTTTGGCGTCACGCAGTGTGATGACTACTGGGATGACGAGCTGGCGCAGCGACGTGCATTCGTGCCGATCTCAAGTTTTCGCCGAGCACATAAGCTGACAAACGGTCCAGGATCGGAGACGAGCCATACACTCTTGGTCTATTTGATACAGCCGGACAGGAAGATTATGACCGACTTCGACCTTTGTCCTACCCACAGACCGACGTCTTCCTGGTTTGCTTCTCCGTCACTTCACCGGCATCCTTCGAAAATGTTCGAGAGAAATGGTTCCCCGAGGTTCATCACCACTGTCCCGGCGTTCCATGTCTGATTGTTGGGACCCAAACCGATCTCCGAGATGACCCCCAAGTCCGTGAGAAACTCGCCAAGCAGAAGATGCAACCGGTTCGAAAGGAGGACGGTGAAAGAATGGCCAAGGATCTAGGCGCTGTCAAATATGTCGAATGCAGTGCACTGACTCAGTACAAACTGAAAGACGTATTTGACGAGGCGATTGTGGCAGCTCTGGAACCTCCACCCAAGAAGAGTAGTAAGAAGTGTACGATTCTTTGATGGACCCCTTGAGAGGGATCTACTCAATAAGTTGGTGGGGTTTCCAAGGTTGGTGATTTGTTTCTGGGGAGAGGAGTTATGGCTTTCTGACATGGACAGATCTTTTGGGTCTTTTCAAACCACTCAATATTGGAGAGATTGGAGTCGTTTTGGACAGAGATACAATCCGACCATTGGCAACAAGCTTGGAAGAAATCTTCCTGACATGGGGCATCAGACAGAAAGCGACCGTCTTTCATCTACACAATGGACATGTTTGCTCGGGATCGACGGACCTTGGACTTCATCATGGGCGTATCACAAGGGGATTGCTGGGAGAATCAATCCATTGGGGCTTCTTTTATTTCCCTTTTTGCTATCAGAGGCGAGTGGCGTCGAGATTCGGTTGGCATGGGGGGTTTGTGCTGCCAGACAAGTTCAGAAACCCTCGCGACCAGAGACCAGAGCTGTGGATTGGTGAATCGAAGCCAGATGGTATCTCAACCGAGCTGGAGACAAGACCGAGGAATATTCAGAGCTTACCATTGACAATACGTTTTTGCTGTGATTTTGCTGTGTTTTGCTGTGTTTTTGCTCTATGCGTGGAGTAGTTGCTTTGTCTTTCCACGTTCTGTGCCTCTCTCCGGCTCGTCTTGAGGCTTGAGGTTTCAAGCTTCGGCTGCAGGCTTCAAAGATGTTTCGGGTGGATTTGATTTAATGAGCAAGATTGGCATTGTTGGCATTGACCGGAGATGGCAGGACATTCAGCGCCATGCCATGCCACGCCACGCCAACGCAATGCATTGCAATGCGCGTCCGGTGCGTTCTAACGGCGTTCCGGGCAGTCGAGACACTAGACGATCTATGTTCTCTAGGATTTCTGACTGACTGACTGACCCACTGACCTTACAGATGCAATGCCAGATACCTGGTTGAGACGAGATGCGCCCGAATATGCGCGGTATCAGCTTTCTGCGCAGCCCGAGTGCGAAAATACTAATCAGGAACCTGAAAAGATAGAAAGGAAAAGGGATGGCCTACATAATTAGCCCTTAATCATCCAAAGACATGATATGGATAATTGATGACTCTGCAAGCCGTCATGGGCCATGGCAGTTGACATAAACTACGTATTATCAGCGCCATCACCACTACCACTACTACTACTACTACTACTACTACTACTACTACTACTACTACTACTACTACTACTACTACTACTACTACTACTACTACTACTACTAC